GCCCTGCCAGTCTCTGGTTCGAGCCAACATCATCTCTCGCCTTCCTGATAACAGTGGCCTCTTGTATTCCTGCATCAGTATTTGCTTCTCTTCAGTCTATTTTCTATAAAGCAGCCAGAATGATCTTTTAAAAATGGTAATCTGATTGAACCAATGTATCCAGTTTCACTTTCCTGGGGTTCAAAATGAGGTCACATTCCTCTTAATGTTCAAATCAGACGACTTGGAGCCTTCACTTGTCTCCTGCGTGTGATAACTTTGGATCCCAACGACTCAGATTGTCTTAATAATTGGTTCTGGAAAACCTGCTTCTCAGCCTTTTTGACTGTTGTGACTGTCAGTAAAATACCTGGTTCTCTGTCCTCAGGTAGTCCTTATCCATTGCTATATGCTGTGGTGTGACCAGGCACAAATGTTCAACAAGTGACCCAGGGTAATCTAATCTTTATTCAGTAAAGAGAAAAATGCTCTGATGATCTGGGTATACAGTGTTTTGGTTCTCAAAGCAGGGGAAAGGTTTTGTCCCAAGTGTTAGGCATTCACTATGATAGCTTATTGCCTTGCTAGGCCTGAGACCTAAATTCTTCCTTGGAACACAGTTACTTTTCATTCATACACATAAATAAAGAGTGCCAGAATCTGCTTCTGTTGCATAAGGCATAACCTTAGTACCTTTGTAAATCAGTGCATGGAAATTGGTTTGTTCCTGTCCAAGTCTACTCTTACTGTGCTAAGAGGTACAAGGAAAAGAGGCCATAGGAAGCCAATAGCCTGTGTCCAATGTGAAACAAGATGTCCATGAAGCCTAAGGAGGAAGAGTGTGGCCTACTTTTTTCCATGAAAGATATTCATTTTTAGCCAAGATGTCCCCTGCAATCTCTGGTTTCTGTCTTTGATAGAGGGCCTGGTTATTAACTCAAGCTAGAAACATAAACACAGGTTAGTATTACAAGCTAACCTCTCTCCCAAATCTCACATCTTATCAGAGACCAATCCAGGAGTATCCTTAAAACTCAGCCCTCTAGCCTTGTTAGACCCTGATCTGTTTTTAACCATTTTAATCAGTTCCTGCCATGAAGGTCACCCTGGCTCAATTTCCTCTCCAACCTCCAAATTGCATATATTGATCTTCCCAAAACTAAGTCTGCTCCCAGTCCTGGTCTTTTAAGTCTTTATAATGAATCCCCATTGTCTGAGCCCCTCAGGGTAATAGCTGACGTGGGTCTATAGAGAGCTCACAGGTCACTAGGGGTGTTGCCCAGGGGATCACAAAGAGGAGGAATCACACCGGGCTCCTGCACGCAAAGCAAGTGCTTCAGCTTCTTGTGCTACTGCCCCATGCCTCCCAAAAGAAATATTTCAAGGTGAAATTTGTATAAAAATATAACGTATACCTGTATAAGTATCTAACAGTGTAGCTGTGAAACAGCTCAGTAAGCTTTATAAAGTAAATCTACCTGTTATCTACCATTCTGATGAAGAAATAGATTGAAGGGGGGGCAATGGTACAGTACCCCTGAGCACCACCTGTGTGACCCCCAAGCCAAAACAACAAGAACAAAAATAGATTCTAGGGGCCGGAGCGATATTACAGCAGGTAGAGCTTTTGCCTTGCATGCAGCCGACCCAGGTTCCATCCCCGGCATCCCATATGGTTCCCCAACACTACTGGGAGTAATTCCTGAGCACAGAACCAGGAATGACCCCTGAGCATCACTGAGTGTGACCCAAAAAGTGAAAAAACAAAACAAAAACCTAACAAAAATAGATTCTTTTACCAAGATACCCAAAGCCTGTCTTCTGCTAAATTACCTGCCCTCCAGAGAAACTCGTTAGTAATATCAAAAGTAACCCTGATTTTTGGACAGTACTTCCACATTTTGAAATCCCACATTTTTGTATTTAGCTTCTTTGATTGAACATTAGTGTGAGTATCCATCTATGCCGTTGCTTGGAGACTGTTACTACTCAGTGTATATCTAAAAGTAGAATTTCTCATGTGTGAAGTCCTGAATATAATTCCTGACTCCACAAAAAGAAAGAATTCCTGGATTGAAGTTATGTGAATATTCAGTTTTAGTAATAGTATTCTGCCAAATACTATTCTACAGTGATTGGGTCAATTTGTATTTTCAGAGTTGCAGTTACCCTGTGGTCTCATTGCTTCTCCACTGGGTTTTTTTGTTTGTTTGTTTTGTTGTGTTTTGTGGCCACACTCAGTCATGCTCAAGGGTTACTTTTGGCTGTGCACTCAGGAATCACTCCTGACGTTGCTTAGGGGACCATATAGAATGCCACAGATCCAATCAGGGTAGGCAGCACACAAGACAAGTGCCCTATCTGCTATACTATCTCTCCAGCCCCTCCATTTGGGTATATTAGCCACTTTGGTGACTATATAGCAATACCTTATGGAGGTTTATTCCATTTCACTTTATATATCTGGTTTTGGGTACAACCCTGTGGTGCTCAGATCTACTCCTGGCTCTGTACTGGGTGTTACTCCTGCTGGCGCTCAGGGGAGCATGAGGAACTGGGCCTATCACATGAACTCATTCCATTGGACTATCTTTCCAGCCCTAAAATGTGTGAATGTGTGTGTGTGTATAGATAGATAGATAGATAGGTAGATAGAGGGAAAGAGAGAGAATGATTTCTCTACATATATGTTTATCTCCACATATATGTTTACATATATCTCTACATATATGTTTATCTCTACATATACATATACATATATCTCTATCTATCTATCCATATATACATACATATTTGTCCACCTTTCTCCACAATGACCTTCTGGATGGCTATGCTCTATTCAGCATCGTATTTCAACACGTGTGATGCCTGGCATGTTAGCATGAAGGATGCCTAGGAACGGTTTGTTGAGTATTTTAGACTCTTGGAAAATAAGAAGTTGAAAAGTCTTTCCAATTATAATATCAAGCTCTTTTTGGGGGGGGGTAGAGGGATATGGGGAGTCATACCTGGCAGTGGTGCTCAGTGCATACTGCTTTACTATCTTTAAGACACCAAGTGATGCAAATCAAGGCCACAGTGAATACCACATCTCATGGACATGCATTTACTAGTATTGCTACAATAATAAAAATAGATAAGAGTAATAACAATTATAGCTGGGGACAGTCTTGACAGTAGTCAAGGGATATATGGTGTCAAGGATTAAGCCTGGGCCCTCCCACGCAAAACACGTGCTCCAGTCTTTTGATGTATCCCCCTGTATTTTTGTTTTGTTTTGCTTTTGTTTTGGGGCCATACCTGGTGGTGCTCAGGGATCACTTCTGGCAGCACTCAGGGGACCATACGGCGGGGGTGGGGGTGTCTGTGATAGAACCCAGGTCAAGTCAGACTCCAGCAAAGCAAGCATCCTATCCCCTGTACTATCTCTCTGGGATCCCTCTTGGAGGGGTATTTTAGACTCTTGGAAAATAAGAAGTTGAAAAGTTCTTATATAACATGGGATGCTGGAGAATCAAACCTGGGATTTAGAAGAGAACCCAGGTCTTATGCGTGTAAGGGAGGTGCTTTACTTCTGAGCCATATCCCATTCCCAGCTCTACTTTGGAAACAGTTTGACAGGGCCTGAGCAATAGTATGGAGGTAAGGTGCTTGCCTTGCCTGAAGCTAACCAGGGCTCAACCCCAGCCACCTCGTGTGGTCCCTTAAGTACCACCAGGAGTGATCCCTGAACACAGGGCCAGGAGTAAGCCCTGAACACCACTGGGGGGTGCCCCCCAAGCCAAGCAAACAAACAACCAACAAAAATCTGTAAAAAACTTGTACAGAATAGGATCCCAAACTTATCTGATCTAGTGCCGCTCTTCAGAAAAAAAAAAAATTAGAGGCAGAAGAGAGAGTACAGGAGTGAGGAGTAAGACTTGCCTTGCATGTTGCCAAACCTGTTTCAGCAACTGGCACTGCATGTGGTCCCATAAGCACTGCCAAGGGTCACTCCTGAGCACAGAGATAGGAATAGCCCCTGAGCACCACAGGGTGTGACTTCAACCCCTCCCTCCACAAATTACTCATGACCCTCTAAAAATCTAAACTTAGATTTAGACAAACAGAAAGCCCTGCCAACCCCAATTGTACCCAAGGCCGCTAAAGTCCCCTGTGGGAGCAGTTTCACCAATTTCCAGAAATACCGATAGACTTACACTGTGATCCAAGAATTATACTGTTGATATAAACTTATGAGAACTGAAAATATATACAAGTTTTTCAACTGAAGGAAAGTGAAGCATCTATGTTCACAGTCGCATGATTCATAGTAACCCAAAATGGAAACAACTCAAATGTCATGGCTGGTGAATGGATAAACAAACTATAGTAGATCCATAGAGTAGATTACTATGTAGTCATAAAAAGGCATTACATGCATGTTACAAACTGAGTCTGGGCTGGAGAGATGGAGCAGTGGGTAGGGAGCCTGCCTTGCACGTGGCCAACTCCGGTGACTCACATTCAATTCCCAGGACCGAATATGGTCCCCCAAGCTCTGCCAAGAGGGAGCTCTGAGAGTAAAGCCAGGAGTAAGCCCTGGACACTGTTGAGTATCCACCCCACCCCACCCCCAAACAATAACAATGACAAAACAGAAAAAGGATGGGTGTTAAAAATATTATACCAGGGGCTAGAGTAATAGTACAGTGGGTAGGGCGTTTCCCTTGCACTCGGCCAACCTGGGTTTGATTCCCAGCATGCCATATGGTCCCCGAGCACCGCCAGGAGTAATTCCTGAGTGCAGAGCCAAGAGTAACCCCTGGGCATTGCCCGGCGTCACCCAAAAAGGAAAAAAAAATTATACTAGATGAAACACACCTTTGTGACACAGAGGCCACATATTGTATGGGTCCAGCCATCTGACCACCCAGTAGAGGCAAACCCATAGACAAGGAATAGTGTGAGTCAGGCTGGGGTAGAAATAAATGGGACAAGTTACTTTTTAGTGTGATTTTCTTTTCCTTTTCTTGTTTCATTTTTGCAGGTTGGAGGGAGATGAATATGGAAATACTCTCCACCCAATCATCTCCCCTAGCCCAGGTCTTACTGCTCTAAAGTTTAATTACAGAACAGGGAAACTGCCCTGAACAAGGCTGGTGTGATTTTAAACATGTACTAAAATTAGATAATGGTTGCATCTGGGGATAAACTAGAAACCATTGAATTGTACACTTTAAAAAAGGACTCATATGCTATATAAGTTGTATCTCAGTAGAACTGCTATGGAGGGCCTGGAGAGACACAGTAGAAATATAGATACCTGTCTTGCATGTATCAGACCCTGGGTCAATTCTGGCACCATGTATGGGTTCTCTGAGCAGAACTAAATGTGAGCCCTGAGCACACTCCCAGCCTCCCAAACAAACCTATCCATTTTTTTTTTTTTTTTGCTTTTTGGGTCACACCTGGCGTTGCACAGGGGTTACTCCTGGCTCTGCACTCAGGAGTTACTTCCTGGCAGTGCTCAGGGGACCATATGGGATGCTGGGAATCAAACTCAGGTTGGCCTCATGCAAGGCAAACGCCCTACCCGCTGTGCTATCATCCTTTTTCCTTTTTTTTTTTTTAAGTCAGTTTGGTAGCTTTGGGGCCACACCCAGCACTACTCCAGGGTGACTCCCAGGACCACATGTGCCAGGGATCAGACATGGGTCTCCTCAGTACAAGCACATACTTAACCTATCAAGCTATCTCTCAGCTCTAGCTTTGATTACTTTTAATTTAAAACAATTACACATATACACACACACACATATATGAACAACAAGGGTTGTTCGTGGCTTTACACTCAAAAATTGCCTTTCTTTCTTTCTTTCTTTCTTTCTTTCTTTTTCTTTCTTTCTTTCTTTCCTTTCTTCCTTTCTTCCTTTCTTTCTTTTTCTCTCCTTCCTTCCTTCCTTCCTTCCTTCCTCCTTCCTTCCTTCCTTCCTTTCTTTTTTCTTTATTTTTTCTCTCTCTCTCCCTCCCTTCCTTCCTTCCTTCCTTCCTTCCTTCCTTCCGTCCTTCCTTCCTCCTTCCTTTCTTTCTTTGCTTTTTGGGTCACACCCAGAGATGCTCAGGAGTTATTTTTGGTTCTGCACTCAGGAATTACTCCTGGGGGTGCTCAGGGGACCAAAGGGGGTGCTGAGATGGAACCTGGGTCAGCCGTGTGCAAGGCAAACACCCTATCTGCTGGATCAGCCGTGTGCAAGGCAAAACACCCTAAACGCCCATAGAGAATTACTCCTAGAGGTGCTTGAGGGACCATATAGAGTGCTGGGGATCAAATCTGGGTTAACCATGTACAAGGCGAGCACCATACCCATTGTACTATCTCTTCAGCCCCTTTGATTATTTAAAAAAAAATTCATTTTTTTCTTCCTTGCTCTAGAAGGGGGAGATCTGAGTAGCTCAGTGAAAGAGCACTTGCCTTATGTCCATGAGTTGAACCCCTTACATGAGTTCAATTCCAGGCACTCTAGAGAGACAGAGAGAGAGAGAGAGAGAGAGAGAGAGAGGAGAGAGAGGAGAGAGAGAGCACACAGAGTCAGCTGGGGGAGAGGGTGATGGAGAGCAGTTGACGGGGGACGTTGGTGGTGGGAAATGTCCACTGGTGGAGGGATGGGTGTTGGAACACTGTATGACTGAAACCCAATCATGAACAGCTTTGTAATGGTCTATCTCACAGTGAAAGAGAGAGAGAGAGAGAGAGAGAGAGACAGAGACAGAGACAGAGACACAGAGAGACAGAATTTAACTTTCTGTTCTTGTTCTCAAAAAAATTATTAAAATTTATGTAACACAAAATGTTTATAATTTCCAGTAGTTCTGTACTTCGAATAGAGAAATAACTTCTACCCAATCATCACCCTTAGCCTGTTATCTTCTTGTCCTAAAGAACATCAACACTAGTGAGTGACAGTGTGGCAACACAGAGCCACACTGCTGGGGCGGGGCTGAGCAAGACAGGTTTTAAGCCCCCCTGGTGATTCTGAGTCTGCTCAAAGTTTAACACTAACCGCTTTAATTTCAATGTCCTCCTTTTTCCTTTGTCATCAGCTTCCCAAGTATAAAAGACATTAGCAGGCACTATAGAATTGCTGTGTCACGCTCCCTAACCTTCATTCACCACTCTGCTTGAACTCTACTCAGCATGTTTCTCTAACATTTTCTCTCCTGCTTTGGAATCTGAATTCCTTCCTGAATCAGCAATCCGAATTTGCTGTCCTTTTCTATCTCAGTGGCGATCATTAACAGGCTCTTCTGGAGAGAGCCTCACAGCTCTTCCTGGAATAAGGATAAAAGAAAACCACGGACAGAGGAGTTTTTGTGTGAACAATTGGTATATTTTGATGAAAGTAAGTGCACTCCATGCATGGAGCAAAGACAATTTTCTTTTGGTTTTTGGACCACACCAGGTGATGCTCCTGTTTCTGCACTCAGGAATCACTCCTGGTGGGTTTAGGGAACCATAATGGAATGACAGGGATCGAAACCAGGTGTGCTGTGTACAAGGCCTTATCCACTGTACTATCTCTCAGGTCCTGCAAAAACAAATTTAAGTGGGCCAAAGGTGTAGTCTGGTTTCTGAAATTCTGAAGTTTCAGCTTCTAGGTTGCAGATACTATAAATCAAGCCCAGAGACTAGGAGTCTTCATTTGCACAAGTTCCCCCTGTGACCTGGTGACCTTCAAGCTGGTGGGCCTTGCCCACTTTGAGAAACACAGCACAAAAGAAACTAAGTGTGGGGTGGGGCTTCCACAATGCCTTGCTTTGCAATTCGACACACACTGGAAATTGACACAGGAAAAAAAGAAAGGAACTCTGCACCAACCAACCTCTTTCTAAAACTCCTCAGATCATTTATAATTCAGAATTAAAAAGACCTTTGAAATTTTTTACTCTTAAGATTTAAAAAATTTTTTTTTATTGTCTCATACTCCATCTTGAGGGTCCTCTGCATCTTCACCTGAGATGTATAATTTCTTTTTGTAACTTATTGGTACATTTCTCCACCTGAGGGATTTGCCTGCATCTCAATCTGAGACCTACACTCTCCCTGCTCCTGAGAAACCTGTATTCTCTAATTTACTTCCTCTTCCACCACCCTCATATTTCTCTAAATAACACTATTTGACCTCAGAAACTATAAATACCCTAAAGGTACATAATTAATATAAGGGGTGTTTTGCTGTTAAGTGTGGAAGTTATTCTTGAAATACATAATTCTGACAGTTACACAATCCTGAATAATTAACTTCATATACTTTTTGAGGGGAGGGGAGCCACACCTAGCGATGCTCAGGGGTTACTCCTGGCTGCGCACCCAGGAATCACTCCTGGTAGGCTATAGGGACCATACTGGGTGCCAGAGATCGAACTGCTGTCAGGTGCATACAAGGCAAGCATTCTGTCCACTGTACTCTTTCTCTGGCCCCATCACATTCATACTTTAGAAACCTTTAAGTTATATCAAGTGTTTGTTTTTTGTTTTTGAGCCACAGTCAACAGTGCTCACTCAGGGTTTACTCCTGGCTCTGCACTCAAAGATTACTTCTGGAGGTGCTTAGGACCGTATGTGGGGATCAAACCCAGGCTGACTGCATGTAAGGTAAGAATCCTACTCTGAACTATCTTTTCAGGCCCCCAGTTTTGTTCCTTCTAATGTTGGTAGAGGGATGGGACTGGAGAGATAGTACAGGGGTTAAGGCACTTGTCTGATATGTGGCTGGCTTGGGTTTGATCCCTGGCATCCTGTCTGGTTCTCGCTGAGCCCTGCCCTGAATACTGCGGGGTGTAGTCCAAAAACGTTGCTAGAGAGACTAGGAGAGAGCTCTGAGGGCTAGTAGGCATGCTCTGTATGTGGGAGGGATAGTTCAATTCCTAGTACCACATGGCCCCTCATGGGAGCCATAGTGACCCCAAAAACTGAGCCAAGAATAATCCTTAAGCATCATCAAGTGTGGTCCAAAAATAAGTGTTTAAAAAAGCTTATAGAGGGCCAAAAAGATAGGACTGTAGATAAGATGCTTGCCTTGCATGCAGCTGACCTGGGTTCGATTCCCAGCATCTGTATGGTTCCCTGAGCACTGTCAGGAGTAATTCCTGAGTGCAGAGCCAGGAGTAACCCTTAAGCATTGCTGGGTATGGTCCAAACAAACAACTGATCGAAGAAACAAAAAGCAGTGCTGGAGAGATAGCACCAGGATTAAGGTTAAGGAAGGGGATTGCCTTGCTCAAGGCCAAGTCCAGTTCTATCCTGATCACCCCCAGAAAGTGATCCCTGAGCCAGGAGTAAGCCCTGAGCACCATCTGTATGGTCCACGCATCCCCACCTTCCCCACCCCCACCAAAAATAAGTTTGTAGAGCAGCTGTCAATTTATGAAAGTTTTTTTGTGTTTTGGAAGTGGGGTGGATAAGGGCACCCAGAGTCTACTCATGACTCAGTGCTCAGTTTCCTCCTAGCAGTTCTCAGGGGGTCATGAAGTCGCTGCTTCCCTCATGCAAAGCATGCACTCATTTGGTTGAGCTATCGTTCCTCTCCCAGGAAATTCTTTCCCTAAGATTTTTCTTCACAGTGAGTTTGTATTACTGGAAAATGTTTATATATATGAGCATGATTATATATCTGCTGCCAAGATGCAAGATCATGGTCTATTATGGTTTAATTTTTGTGTTCTTTCACACTATATTTCTAAAGACACTTAATTTTTTTTTGCCAGTGTCATCTTAACATTTGTACTTACTGAAGTGCTGGAATAAATAACATTTTTGGCTTTAAAAACTGAAGTTGCCCAATCTCAGCATTGTAGGCATTTTGGCCGAATGAATGTTGTGTTGCCTCTGTATACTGTAGGATGTATAGAAACATCCTTGATGTCTATGGGCTACATGTTAAGTAGCACTTTCCCCCAAAATATGACAAGTGAAAATACCTCCAAGACATTGCCAAAGTCTTTGGTGGGGGCAAAATCACAAGTCTGAGAACCAATGAAATAGAAACAGCAAGTTAATATATGTGGCCCATCTAGGTTTGACACCCAGCAGAATATATGGCACTCTGAGAGCCACCATGAGTGATCCCTGAGCACAGATTGGGTGTACCCCCAGACCAATTGTCAGAGAATTTT